CTAAATAAATTAGTTTTACATTCTATAAAGGGAATTCTTATACCAGGGCGTAAAATACGGCGGTTCTCATAAGAAAATGTTAAAAAACCTTCTCACAACTCTTTTTACATGAATATCAAACAACTTTTTCGTAGAAGCTAATTTAATATGCGGCCTATTTTCATATGATGGTATATACGAAAATGCGACATGACATGCTTGAGAATAAAATGTATATTAAAAAATAAAATAACGTACTATGTACATAAATGTTAGCAATATCAATGGATTGTATGACGAGAATTTGTTTGTTAAATCAAAGCGGAAGTTGTCTCCACGGATTATTTAAGAATTATAATAAGTTATCAAGTACAATGAAAGGTTTCCATCTAAGTAACGATACTTACTGAAATTTACAATTTGATAATGGTCTAATAAAATAAGTACTGGGATTTGAATGTACAATTTGTGCTTTGTTTTCACATTCTGAGTATATTTGACCTATTTATGCGAACTTGCTGTTGACATCCGTAAAATTACATGTCAAATATAAATTATCATGTCTTCTCTGAAATATAACTCTAAAGAGAAAGATAATTTAAGTATTTTGATTTTAAGCATGAACTGTGATTTAATACGAATTCAACGTATTCAGCGCTCTTTGTGATACTATTTATGTTATATCTTATTATATTACTATTTATACCATACAGTTTGACATGATATTTTCATTTTGTATTTCATTTCTTAGCTACTTTCGTAGCGCAAGAGCAGCGGAGATTGCATAAAATCTCTTATCAAATTATAAAAAAAATATATACCTATAGGTGTACTACTTCATACATGTAAGTGAAGGGTGAAAAGTTTTTTTTACGTGTATGGAGTGTGGGCCAGAGAATTCTGAAAAAAATGAGATAATAGAACTTTAGAAAACTCTTCAACAAAAAATAGTTTTGATGATACTTTGAGTAGTTTTGGAGATATGGGATATTTTCCGTTCCACGCGTCTGGCTGCCAACTTTATTTTACTTTTAACGTAACCCATAAGTTTGTTAAAACAATAAATAAATTTAATGTTTCATGCTATAGAACTCTCGGCGTGCGATAGTCTTGTACTTCTCCCGATTTTTTATTTAAATTCCTCATTTCTAAAAGAATACAAATGGCCTTATAAAAGAACTATGTTAAAAGAGAATTAAATATTATATCCGGTAAATCTGACATTCTATAAACGTAAAAGGAATCTGTTTTGAAGAACTGTAATAAAAATCTTTAAAAATTTAGAGCTGGAAAAGCCATTTTGCGAACCGATGGCGCCTTAATACTCTCGTAAATTAATACTAGGTACCTTATATTTTCTTTTTCCGAGATTCTAACATTTTAAATAGGATGCGAGTATTAAAATACTGCGATTTCCACAAACTTGAAACTATTGAAGTATTCATTTAAAATTTGTATACACTATCCTGCAATAATTCATAGCACAGTAAAAGTAGTATTCTAAATGAAGATTTCATTATTAAGTAATAATTATGATTAAAATGAAGTCGATGGAAAATTAATTCGATAAGTCATTAAAATCTATTCACGTTATACTGTACATGTGTTTCATACAATTTCTTTCTTATCTATTCCTAAAAAATAAAAAAAAACTAAGTCAGTTTTGACTCTGAAAAGGGTAAAAAGTAAAAGTATTCTCTGAATAGATCTAGCCTTTTTGAGTATTCTCTTGAATTACAAGTTGGACAAAATAATGTACGCACGCATAATTAGTAGTTGCTTAGTTTGGTTAATTTAAGAGCGTTTACGCCGAGGATGGCTCGTCAAATTTAGGCGAATTTTACTCACACAAAGGCTAACGTTGTTTTATGTGTTCTCTTTCACTGTAGCCTAACAAAATAACTTTGATATGTTTGAGTGTAAACAGTTAAAAAATTAAAAATTATGATGCAAAAAATCGATATTTAAATAAGTCTCGTTCTAGTTATAATTTTGGCTATTAGATGCAAGATGGAGTATGTTTGAAGTCATTTTTATATTCTCAATTCTAAATATGTCGATTACATGTTGTTTTTTAGATAATGACACCGATTTTTTTTGTAAATATAGATAAAATGTAGGAAGTCATTTCCTTTCGTTTTCAAAACGTTTAGTATTATTTGGCATTTTCTATTAAAAACATGTTACACTAAAATATCATAAAAAGTATATATTTTGCTTTTGAAAAAAAGTATTCCGATTTGTCAGTCACACTACAAGCGTGCTCTACCCGTGTACGCACAGCAAAGGTCACACGGTGAACTACATAATAGGGTATACGCATAATTTTATATAGTAAATTTTAAATAATTCAAATAATTTAAAACTATTTTATTTAAATTTTTAAATCTGACTTTAAAATAAAGTAGGCCATATTGGTTTAAAAACAATTATTCATAGTACTTCGTAATTTTACACAGTTTTAATGTAATATAAGTACAACGAAATTATTTACGTTTGAGATTAAATTTTAAAACTTTTTTCAGGGTTTTTTTATATTACGTTTCGTGAGTGTAGTAATTACAAATATTTCGGGCCTCATAAATGAAGTTGTGAATGGTAAAAGACATATTTATTTAAATTGTTGTATATTATTTTAAATGTAATAAATTCTTGTCTATCTACACGGGTAAGTCCCGCGACAAGCTTTTATATCATATGAATTGTGTAATGTAATAAATTATTGGATTTGATTTAATTTAAAGTTTATTTTCTTCTTTTTAGAGCATTTAAAATTTTAAATAAAAAATATCTTGTTTAAAAAAAAAACTATTTTTTTTATTCGTATTCTTCTCACCAAATCCTTTCATTTGATATCCATATCATGGTGGTGTAGTAGTACAGTAAATACTTATTCGCTATCTTTAGAAGTCCGCCATATTGGATTTAGAGTGACGTCACTTTATTTTTCGAGTTATTATCAGCAAGCCCTTTCATTGGATACCCATATTGTAGGAGTGCATTAAAATTAACTAGCCCGCCATCTTGAGTGCTCCGCCATGTTGGATTTAGAATGACGTCACCCAGCTAGCTATGCATTGTTATCCAAACTAAACATATACACAAAATTTCAGCTCAATCGGTTGAAGATATCTGCTTCAAAATTGAATTGCAAGATTCCACCCGGACAAACATACATACATTGCAAGTTAAATAAAAGCTTGTAAAATGCCACAAATTTTTAATGGTGTAGGTATTCGTATTTATAGTTTATAGAGATACCACGATGACACAACTTAGATGGTTCTTGTATACATATCTACTGACTTATCTTACAGGTGTAACAGAGATTGCTGTGACATTTCGTTGAATTGTATTCAAGGCATCTTATAGTGATTACGTAAGCACTAAGTATTATAGTAGGCAATAAGCATTGCTATTATAGCTTTATGGTGATATCTGTGAAAGTATAATGATGTGATGTTCTCCCGACCGATTCCGGCCACGGCGGCCAATCTCATTGAGACTAGCCAACTACGCAGGAGATATTATAGTGCACAAGTGTACGCACAGACACAGGTGCACTCTCTGTTCCTATCACTCTCATACTCCGGTGGGACGACTGCTCGACACGACCAGTGAGAGTTAAGGCGCAGGACCGACGGCTTTACGTGCTCTCCGAGGCACGGGAAGTATAATAATTACATATTATATATGCATTTTACGATATATTGCTACTTTAGATATTTTCGCGTGTTGTTGGTAAACTAGAATAAATAAGTAGAAGTAGTAGAATGAGTTGATATTTTACTTTCATTACAATGCCACGGCCCAATATTCGATTTACTTATATTTGTATTGTATTGTCTTACGAATTAATTATTTATAAGTATATATGTAAATAATATATTTCCAAAGCTATTAATTCCGATAAAAGAACAGCGTTTTCACAAGGTAAAGATCATATTTTGTACCACCCAATGCGTTCTTTAAAGACAATATCACAGTTGATAAATACCAGTAAATGTCCAGTATTAGTTTTAGCTAGTATTAGCTGTAGCTTATACTGTATATTTTTTGTAAAAAAATATATTAAGTTTAAAAAATAATAATAAATTATTATATAAATTCAATTAATATATAAAACACATATAAACATAGATTTTAAATAAACACGCCTTTAAGGAAAGTATTTAAATACACAGGAAGATAAACGGTAAAATATTTATAGGTACTGTTTTATCTATCTGCCGTCTATTTTTCTACGCACAGCTTTGCTTTAAGTAACATACATAATTTCTGGCAGTTTTCTGTTTACATTACCTATATAAAATATTTACTTTATTATACGATACTGAGGGTGAAAAACGCGTGAGTGAAAAAAGTATAAACAAACAAATGGTAAGAGAATTACATATACTCTCAAAGTCTCAGCCACTACTTAGCCATCAAGCAAACGTACGTGGATATTATAAGAAATGGAAGAGGTATGATCGCAGTGAGAACTTACTAATACAAAATAAGTTTGATATAGGTACAGATAATCATAATAAAAAAAGCGTTGATATTATCAGAACTTTATTTTTTATGTTTTCTATTTTGGATAACTTTTTAGAAATTCGAAAATTTTTTACATTATATCTTATTCAATAAAATATTTTATATGCCAAACAAAAATTTCAACGTCAAAGCGAGCACCACGTATTATACTTCTTCTTAATGCAATCTGTGTTTTTACCGTCTAAAGTATTCATATACTATTTATTTGTGTTAGATTATAAAGTGTACACTACTACGGAAATAATAACATGAATAGTGTCGTCTAAATTGTGAGTAATAATAGATAAACATTGTTAAAACTTCTACAAGTGTTAAAGCGTTTGTCGTTTAATTTGACGTGCACTTGTGCGGCCGCGGTGTGACATTGACGGGGTCAACGAACTCTGTCACGGTCATTGAACTCTCAGGCGAACGTACGGGCTTCTTGCAGCGTTGCAATTTTGCTTGTTGCTTGTTAAATAATTCTTAAGCAGTAAATCAGAATGGCTTTATTGTATGCGTGCTGTCGTGTTGCTGTAGCAAATACTGATGTGCCAATGATTTGCGTCAGTTATAGTGGCTACTATGATCTGCAATGTGTGTCAACATCATCCAGAAAGGATCCGGCACTTCGCAATGGGTCAGATTGGACCTGCCCAGCGTGTTCGTCAAAGCAACCAAAAACTGTTAAAAATGATAATACACCCGTTCGCATGCCGGCGCGCAAACAATGTGATACCGACAACCTTAATGTTACAGTACGTAATAAAAATGTGAAAAAACAATCTCCCTCTGGTTCATCGGTGTCAGTGATAGAAAACTCAACAGACTCTTCTTGCGACCTACGTAGTTTTATAAGACAGGAGATTTCAGAGCTAAAAAGAGATCTTGAATTTAGTTTCAAAAACTTTATAAACTCCGAGCTTAAAATCATTAAAGACGAGGTGCAGGAAATAAAAATGTCCATAGCTTTCATTAATAATAAGTATGATGAGATGAAAGAACGATTTGAAATATATGATAAATGCCTAACATCGGTAAACAGCTTGAGTAATGACATCGGTATACTTAAATCATCACTGGCAAAGTTGGAGCATGAAAATAATGTTAGAGACCAATGGGCGCGGCGTTCCAATATTGAAATTTGTGGCATTCCCGAGAAGAAAAACGAAAATCTCTTCGAGGTTATTGAGCACATATCAGAGCACGTCAAGTTTTCTTTTAACAAATCCGATATAGATTTTATACCTCGCGTTGCACCCTCTAATAAGGACTTTAAAAAACCTAAGCCTATTATTGTTCGGTTTTTATCGAGATATAATAAAGACGACTTTTTGAGCAAAACAAAGCAACTTAAAAGCCTAAAAGCGTGTGATCTTGGTTTTCCTAGTAGTCAATCGTTGATATTTTTCAACGACCATTTAACCAGTTTAAATAAGTCTTTGTTACGCCAGGTGAAAATTAAGGCGAAAGATAATAACTATAGATTTGTATGGGTTAAAAACTGTAGTATTATGGTTAGAAAGTCTGAATCTAGTCCTATTTTACACATAAATAATACGGCGGATTTATTCAAAATAAAATAGGAATTAGTATTTTAAATAATTTTATTAATCATTATCTTAACTATATTTTAGCTTATAATGTATTTTTTGTATCACTCTTGGTAGTTATTTATTTTGTTTTAAATGTGATCTATTCTGTAATAATGTATAACAAACTTACTTTTATGGTGCACGTGATCTTGACACATTCTGTGATATTTACCATTTTATATAATTTAATTTATACCTTTACAACAACATTTGATAACACCTTTGTTAAATCACTTTTTTACAATCTGTATATGTATGACATATATATGTTTACATTGTTTTATACGATTCGGTTCTAATTTAAAAATTTATTACCAAAACGTTCGGGGTCTACGTACTAAGACTGGCTTGCTTTTTAGAAAGGTCTTATGTCATGAATATGATATAATATGCTTCACTGAAACTTGGTTACATTCGGGTATATTCGACTTAGAATTATTTGACGCACGGTATTACGTGTACAGAAGTGATCGTAACTATACAGTCAGGGGTGATACTATGGGTGGAGGGGTTCTAATTGCAATGAGACGAGAGCTAAAAGTCACCAACGTTGAGTGCATCCCATCAACAAATTCAACTGCTGACGTAATTCGTGTATCTATCTCTTTTGAACGACTTAAACGATGCAACATATACTGCTGCTATTTTCCACAATGTCGAATTCACAAAGATGTGTTGTCAAATTTTTACGAAAATATCTCTGATGAAGTTCTTTCGTATCCTGATGACTACTTCATTATACTAGGAGACTTTAATATACCTAACGCAGTCTGGTCGAATAATAGTTATGATGATGTGACCTTATATGGAGACTTTTCGTTAGATACAGTTAATGAACTAGCAAATTTTCTTTCTTTTAATAATTTTAATCAGTACAATATATTTAAAAATATTAATGATCGTATATTGGATCTTTTAATAGCTAATATTAATTGCAAAGTCAGTTTAGTATCTACTCCAATAGTTTCCGAAGACTCGCACCATCCAGCATTTGAGTTTACGATTTTAAAATCACATGAGAAACTGCTAGGGGCCCGGGCTCATACAGTCAAGTTGTATAGGGATGCTGATTATGAGGCAATAAATATAAGTCTCTCGCAAATAGACTGGAAATCTAATTTAAGTGACGGTAATATTAATGTCTCTGTATCGAATTTTTATAAAATTTTAAATAATATAATAGAGAAACACGTACCCACTAAAACTATTAAATTTAACACTAAGTACCCGACATGGTATAATAGGGCATTGATTAAAACTATAAATGAAAAATTAAAATTTCATCGCAAGTGGAAGGTGTATCAACGGGATAGTGATTACGTATCTTTTGCCGTATTAAGAGAAAGACAAAAACTTATGGAGGAAGATTGTTATAATAAATTTATCAATAATGCTGAATACAGGATTGGTATTAATAGTAAATTCTTTTGGTCTTTCGTAAAATCTAAACGAAAAGGTAATGATCTTCCAGACATGATGCTTCTAGATGATTATACGACTTCTGATCCAGTGGAAATTTGTGACTTATTTAATAATCACTTTTGCTCAGCTTTTAATGTTAATAATAATCCAAATCATAACGGTCAGAGTTCTACCTCGGCGCAGTCGATAAGTATCGATTCAATCACTTTTACAATCCCTCAAGTTTCTGGGTATTTAAAACGTTTGGATGTCAGTAAGGGACCAGGACCTGATGGCATTCCACCCTTGTTTTTACAGAGATGTTACCATGAATTAGGTGAACCATTAGTAATTTTGTTCAGAAATTCCATGAAGTTGGGTGAAATGCCTTTACAATGGAAAAGATCGTTTATAACTCCCATATTTAAAAGTGGTAATAAACATGACATTTCAAATTACCGTCCTATTTCAAAATTAAGCTCAATTCCTAAATTATTTGAGAAAATTATTTACGATACGCTCTCTCAAATAGTTAGACCAATTATAATCCCCGAACAGCATGGTTTTGTAGGTCGTAAATCTACAGAAAGTAATCTTTGCGAGTTTCTTGACCATCTCTATATCGCTATGGATAGTGGACTGCAGGTAGATGCAGTGTACACCGATTATACAAAAGCCTTCGATAAAATTTCACATAGTATTCTGGTACACAAACTAGAACAAATCGGTGTACATGGTGATTTACTTCGATGGATATCCTCTTATCTTAGAAATCGCAGTCAGGCGGTTGCAATAAAAGGATACTGTTCATCATTCCTCCCTGTTTCTTCAGGTGTTCCTCAGGGTTCGCATCTTGGTCCGTTGCTGTTTATATTATTTATAAATGATGTCATATCCTGCTTCCATAATTCCAAAGTTCTCCTTTTCGCAGATGATATGAAAATTTTTAGGTCTATTAAAACTTTAGAGGACTGCAATCTACTTCAAGAAGATCTGTGTAGGCTAAGTTCATATTGTCAAGCAAATGATCTTTACCTGAACATCAGGAAATGTAACGTCATCTCATTTACTAGAAAAAAGAATCCCATCCTCTTTAATTATAAGCTTAATGACAATTTACTAGTAAGAGTAAATGAATTGCGTGATCTTGGTGTTCAGTTGGATAGTAAGCTGGTACTGGGGTCACATATTAGTATTATAACTCAAAGAGCTTACAAAATGCTAGGTTTTGTTATGCGTATCTCGAAAGATTTTAAACAGTCCACAACTTTTATTTTACTATTTAACTCTCTGGTGCGGTCTATTCTTGAGTATTGTTCTTCATGTTGGAATCCTCAATACAAAGTTTATATTAAAATGATTGAAGCAATTAATAAAAAATTTCTGCATCACTTAAAAGATTATAATTCATCCGTAGATTCCATTATTAAAAACTTAAACAGTAATACCCTCGAAAAACGCCGTGATATAAGAGATCAAATGTTGTTGTATAAATTACTACATAATATAATCGACTCTCCCCTACTTTTAAGCAAAGTGAATCTTGCGTGTCACAGATTAGGTGCACGAAATAAACCGCTTTTCGCAATACGTAAGGCTAAAACGAAGTATGCTTCAAATAATTTTGTATCTCGTGCATGTAACAAGTTTAATTTAAAATATAGTAAATTAGATATCTTTCATCTTAAATATAATAGTTTTAAAAAAAATATTGTAAATCTTAATTTATAATAGGTAGTTTTGCTGTAGGTTGTATGTATATTGTTACTTCTAACTTTTAACTGCATAATTACTTGATGTTTTATTAAGTGGTAACATTTAGTTTTTTTTTTTAAATTTAAAATTTTTACATAACATGTATCATCTTATCGTGGTGGTAAGCTTTTGTTTATGTGTTGTGAATCTGTGGAAACTTGGTTGGTTTTTAGCATAACTTTTATATGTTTTAGAATGTAATTTTTTTATTGTACTGTTTGTTTCCCTTGAAAAGCTAATAAATAAATAAAAAAAAATACACTGCTTCTAATTTGTCAATAAAAGAGAGCATGATTGTTATTTTGTTTGGAAAAAATTAACACTTTCTCTTTATATTTTTTGCATTTATTTTGCTTAAATTCACATTATACCTTTCGTAATTTACACCCAGAAATGAATATATTAATATTTATCTCACGTTTATGTTGAGGTAACCGATTATATTAACTGTGCCGAATTCTGAACACGAGTATTTCGCTGAAACAGCCCCTTTGAAAAGGACTATTAAAGCTAGACAAGATAATTCTATATGCATTCACCAAACAGAAGTAATATTCTCAGTTTTTATATTACATTTTAATACTATTACATTATTTGTTCAAAGAAAAAAACAAAATTGTGTATTATAATAATAAACATGACTTTTTTATGGGCAATCCTTCTCATGAATAACATTATTAAACTTCTGACGTATGTATTTACTCGTATATGATTTATTTTTTCCGCTTATAAAATACTAGCGACTCACCCTCGCTTCGCTCGGGTTTGTCCCTCGGCAAGTTTTAACGGTTTGTATGGATTACATAGACTATATATTATATGATATATAGCCTGTAGCCTTCCTCATTAAACGGGCTATCTGATGCAAAAATAATTTTTCAAATCGGATTAGTAGTTTCTGAGATTAGCGCGTTCAAACAAACAAACAAATTCTGCCTCTTTATAATATTAGTATACAAGTAAAGATTACGATCACATTATTTCATTGTTACTTCTAATTTGAATGCTATTTATAACACACACATATAACAGAACAGATGTTATAAATAAAGTTATTCGAGGGTGTTTTTTTTAATTGAAATGTAATCTTGATGTCTATACATATATCTTAGGATATATTTTTATTTATTAAAAAAAGAAAAACCAAAATTAATTTATTATATGCAAAGATGTCACGTATAGAGAAAAAAAACACTCGTACGTATGCATTTTTCTTCAAAATCACACTCTTCCTTTTTGAAATTATATACAGGATAAAGGAAATATAAGAAAAAATAATAACTATTATATTAATTAAAGTTTAAAAGTGATAATGTTAGCAAAAACATTAAGTGAATGCTGTTAGACTTCTCGCATAAACGCGTTGAAGCGTAAGGCTGGACCGCGGCAGTTCTATTTAAACTTTACACAGACGGTAACCCAGTTTTCCCAACATATTAAAGTACCTTTTGAAGAAAATGCAAGTTGTTTTATCCTCTTGTACTATTTAGTTAATTACATATACTGTTCTTTTATGGCTTTTTTGTACTATCTATTTGTATTTGTTTCAAAACCTTATTTATATAATAACGAATTTATATTTTGTGAATATTATGACGAATACTTTGAAAATAATTAACATGGATGTTGGTTTGTCACAAACAGTATGTATTCCATATTTCATAGAATTACCTTGGTGTACCTACTCAGTTAAATTAGTTTAATGAAATATATGGTTAACAGTAACAATTTCATTTAATCCTGCTTTATGAGACCGGTTTAGCTCATAGGATCTTAATATAGGTACGCATTCCAAGGTATTTGTGAAACCACTATTTTCAACTATACACTCT